TAGCCTGGGTCCTTGTGTGGCAGTGAGCATGCAGCATAAGCAAAAACAAAGTTTTAGTGTTTTCAGCTACTGCAGTTTTGAGGATGTTTGTTATCACACTGGAAACAAAGTTTTCCTAACTGTTAATTCTTTAACAAATGACTATTTTTCCTGGCAAGAACAATGCCTTGTTTTAAAAAGTGTGCTTTATTTCCTCTGTACCCATCAGAAATTCAACTCCAAACACTCCACTAAAAGTGTAAATCTCTTCTCCGTGTCCTTTATCAGAGATTCTATTAATTTCATCGTTTTTGGTGGGGACTCTTCATTCAAGGGCTACCCTCTAGCCTCCTGCACAATTGTCTTCCTGGGTATCCCCATCACCTCTCTATTATGGAGCATAAATTCTCAGCTGATGGATCACATTTCGCAGCCTCCTTTGTAGTAGGTTGGCTCTCTGTAACTTATTTTTGGCCAATGAGATGTAACCAATAATGTCCTGTGTGACCTTTGGAAAGTGTCCTCCTTTTTTGTTCTTTCCTTCACTAAGCTCCATGGAATAGAATGTGAGGCCGGAGCTCCAGCAGCATTTTGGGCCATAATGGCAATGATATCTTGAAGGCTATCTAGGTCCCTGATGGTTGGAGAGCCACCAAATAAGCACTGGGCTGCTTATTGCCACATTCTTCTTATTTTTTTTCAATGCGAGAAATAAACGTCTATCTTATTTAACCTGGTATTGAATTTTTGGTCTCATGAAGTGAAGCTGATTCAAACTGAGCCTTCCTTTTGCTTAGCGAATTCCCTTCTTTTTGGTGAAGGACATCCTCTTTCAGCCGTGGCTTGGTCAGGAAATCGAAGCTACTGTGTATATCCCAGGTATGAAGGATTTTGTGCGACGAAGAAATTGTTAAGTCAATACTTCCTAACTTTTATCAAAATTAATTCCAAGGGGATCAAATAATTAAAATGTAAAAAGGGAAATTAACATATAGGTAAACATTTATAGGCTTTTAAACTGGAGGAAGAGCTTCTAAAGATGATATTAGTGAAAACCAAAAACAAGTTGATTGGGTTTAAAACAAAACCAAAATCTTTTATAGGACATAGAGCACCCAAAACAAAACAAAACATAAATGAAAATGAATAGGAAGCCAGATGAAGACTATGGGCTGCTGATCAAAGGTTCTTCCCTTTAGCGGGGTTTCCTGCCCTCAGCGCTATTGGCACTTTGGGTGGGGTACGTCTTTGTTATGGGGCTGTCCTGTGCGCAGTGTTTAGGGTGTTTAGCAGTGTCTCTGGCTTCTACCTACTAGGTGCCCGGTAGCACCCTCTCCCCTAGTTGTTGACCATTGGAGATGTCTCCAGACGTTGCCACAAGTCTTTGAGGGCAAACTCACCCTCAGCTGAGAACCATTAATTGACCCCCGGTGGCTATCACGTGAGCATGCACCAGAACCACCTGGAGGTCTTGTGAAACCCACATGGCTGGGTCTTCTCCTTGGAGTTTCCGATGTACTAGGTCTGAGGTGGGTTTGAGAATTTGCATCTTCAGTAAGTTCCCAGGTGGTGCTGAAGCTGTTGGCTTGGGGCACATTTTGAGAACCTCTGATCCAAACCACTTTGCTTGCAGATAAATGTGTTAGCCTCTAAAACCCAGAAGTAACCATAGTATTGATACTTCCAAAACATGAAAGGGTGGGGACTATATGTGATCAAGGTACATCTTGACAGTGGAGTTCAGGAGCTTAGGGATCATGTTATTACAAAAAACTAGGTGAAAGCAGCAAATTTTGTGGTTTATTAACCAGATAAAGATTTGGTTTACATTTGCTCTAAACTTAGTAATTTTTCTCAGATAATCTTATAGAGGTGACCAAGTGACCATCTCAAGAGAAACGATAAAAATGATAGCCAAGAATCTAATTAATCCATGAGGTGCATATCCGCCCAACTTTAGCCAACCTTTTCCCAATAGCTTGTTAAGCTTCCTGTGATTAATTTTGCATAAATTTCCAGGGGCTACGTAAAAAAAGCTATACAACCCTTTTCACTTAGTGCCACCTAGTTTTTAATACCTTAACAAATCATTTTTGCTGGAACAGCAGAAAGCTGCTGGAATTCATGCTGTCTAAATTTTTGCAGACAGGAAAAAGGATAATGAAAGAAATCATGATGGCCTGAATTTCAGTGGATGGCTTATATTTAATTTTCTAGGTTTACCAGATATGGTGGAGCTCTGCAGAGGCATTTTTAGATCATTACTTTTTAGCACTAATCAGGGCCCATCCTGCATGCCTGGTGCCAGCGTTGATTGTAGTCAAGTGAATGTGAGAAATAAAATGATCTATCAAGGCACTAGCAAGCTACCGACAAATCATAAGTCCTGGGCTGGCAACGTTGTTTTGTTGTTGTCCCCTTAATCTCCTCCACTCTTGTGCAATTGCTTTCATTATTACGGCTCATTTAACGAGACCCTGGAGTTCGGAACCAGATGGTGCTGATAGTTAAATCTGGAAGGCGCTAATGGAATTGAGTTCAAACCAGGCTAAGAGGAATAGAATTACAGACCTTAGCGGTCGTCCTCTCATAGCACACTGCTTTGTGTACCTTTTATACACCGGAAGTTACTGCGGGCTCCAAACGGAAAGGCTCGGATTATGGTTTAGAGAGACCAAGTGTGCTCAGTCACTCATTCACTCAGTCACTCATTCATTCAAAAAGTATTTAATTATGTTCCTATCTTGGTGTTGCAGTATTGCATAAACCATACAGGCATGGCCTCTGCCTCACAGAGCTTGTAGTCTACTAGAAGAGAAGTACGGTATCAAGCAAAAAAACAAGATAAAGAAAAAGCAAGTGCATTGGGTTAAGTGCTAGGAAAGAAGAAGTCGAGAGCGGACGTGGACGGGGAGAGGACAATGACATTCAGGTGGGTGGTCAGGGAAGCTCTCTGAGGAGGTGCTCTGTAAGGTGAGACCCAAATGATGGGAAGCAGCAGACTGGGGCCAAATCAAGAGGAACGTCATTATTACTGTTGGAAGGAATAGCACGTGCAAAGGCCAATGTATGGAAGTCCTTTGGTGTTCCCAAGAAACTGTGAGGACCCCTGTATGGCCGGAACCTAGTGGGTGAAGGAGGGTGGCCTGAGAAGTGGCCAGAGGCTTCTGGGTCCAGAGATGTTGCACGGGGCAAGTGGGCATTTAGATGCTGAGATTATCCAGGGACTTTAATACACCTTGGTGTCCATGTACTGATGAGTAAGACTTGTAGAAAGAACACCTTTTGGGTCAGCACAGTAAATCTTCATGATCTGGACAGTATTAAAATCACAAGCATGATTTTAAACCTTTGCGCAGAGGGCAGGCGAAACAGAGGAAGTATTTTAATTAATTAATGTGACTGACGTAGCAGCAATGATTTAAAACGTGCATCACGGCACTTCCTGTCAGGCACATCTGTCGTGTTACCTCTACCCAGAACACCCCCTCCTCCTCCTTGTGGGTGGCGATGGCTCTGGCCAGCCCCTGGTGACCATCACGGCCCCACACCACGTCCTTTGGTAAATGGCTGTGGGCCCCTCCCCATGGGTTTTCTTTCTGCTCTTTCTTCCTGGCCTGAGTCAGTTTCTCTCCTGTTGGATGCTTCTGCATCTGTCAAGGCCCAGTTCAAAGAGACACACGACCGCCTAGGAGCCGACGTCAGGAGGAGGGAGTGAACTACCAAGGTCCCCACCATCGCCAAGAGTTCTTCTAGCAATTTCTGCTTCTCTGGTTGGCACTTTGGTTGCCTTGTTTAAGCAAGGGGAGCTGGGTGATTAGTTCATTTAGGTATCCCCTAGACCTGTGGCCTTATGCATAGCAGGTACTAAAAATTATGCATTGAATTGAATTCTTATTAGCAGTTACCATTTATTGAGCAATTCAATTGCCAAGCACTCTTTCAAGGGGTTGTGATTTCATCTTATGTGATGGTTAATTTTATGTGTCAACTTGGCCGTGGTGCCCAGATATTTAGTCAAACATTATTCTGGATGTTTCTCTGAAGATATTTTTTTAGATGAGATTAACATTTAAATCAATGAGCTGTGACTAAATCAGATTACTTAATATGATGGGGGTGGGCCTCATCCAATCAGCTGAAGGCCTTAATAGACAAAGACCTCCCCCGAGCAGGAAGGAATTCTGCCTTCAAGAGGCCTTTGGACTCAAATTGTGACTCTTTACATATGTGTGCATCTTGTGGGTTCTGTCTCTCTGGAGAACCCTGACTAATAATACACCTTACACGTAACCATTTATGCTCATTTCGCAGATGAGAAAGTTGAGGTTCACAAGTGTGGGGTACCATGACCAAGGGCACACTCCTGACAAGAGTGGAGCTGAGAAAGTGCAGGTCTTTCCACGCCACAGCCCAGTACAGCTTCTTATGCTTGAACTCGAAGAATGAGAACACGATGACCTGCACGTAACACCACCTGTATTTACTATAAAGTATCCCCGCTTTTTAATGATTCACAAACAACCTTGAGATTTGTTGTGCGTGAGAGTCATCACCTTATTATTCAGGGGAAGTGTGAAACTGCCCTCCGCAGAGAAGGTTGGGGACGGGGAGGTGTGTCACGGCCTTTTAGGGCACATGTCCTTGTTTGGTGTATTTCAATCCTATAGATTAAACTATCCCCTTCACAGTTATAATTTCCAGAAAGATCTGGAAATAACAACACATTTCATCAACAGTCAGTTACAAGGTCTTTGAGAACACGAGAGGGGACTAAACAGACAACAATTTAAAATTCACCGTTTTGTTGAAAATAAGAAACACCCCCTCCCTCTAAAATGAAATGAAAGAGCAATAAACTGTACATGTGGATGAAATTAAAATTGAGAAAAACAAACCACGCCCAGGAGTCCCTGTGCCTCTTGATGTCTTTGCTGTGGGCTAAAGTCCCATGCTGAGGTCAAAACTTCAAACGTGGCCTCCAACTGGCACCTTTCCACAGGGAAAGGCGGCAGTAAACATTCACCCAGGATCAATTGTTTCTGGTTACGCTCAAGACTGCTTCAGCCAGAGACAGCACACTAGGTCACCTTGGATAAAGAGCTGCTCTCAGGAGGACTTGTCACCCCCAAACGCATACAGACGACCTTGTGGGCTCTGAATTCAACGTGTTCTCCCCAGGATGGAGAGGATGGTGCTGAAGATATTGCTAATGTGTGCTCTTGGGGTGAACCCCTGGACGTGTGCAGGTAAGGAACTCAACGACAGGGCCCCCAGCACTTAACCTGTGGAGCTGTCCTGGCCCGTGTGCCTGGTGTCACTGTGTCCCCGTGTGCTTGCATGTCCAGGTTTTCCGGTGTATGATTATGACCCGTTCTCCCTGAGGGAAGCCCTCAACGCCTCTGTGGCAAAAGTGAACGCTCAGTCCTTGAGTCCCTATCTGTTCCGGGCATTCAGAAGCTCAATAAAAAGAGTAAGTACCCACTGCTCTTTAAACTGCTTCCTGTTCTGTTTTCTTTTGTCGGTGTGTTAGGTGCACTTTTATTTTTCCAGTGTAAAATGATGCTAGCTGGTTGTCTCTTTCCTACGGTTTTTGGACAGAGAAAGGATTTAATTCCAATTCTCGTCACAGGGCTCTCAAAGCTCCTTCGGATGCCGGATTCCTCGGCCGTGTCCCTCCCTCTGGCCCCATTTCCTGTTTCCAGATGTTGCCCTCCGTGCATCCTGCTTCTGTAGCTCAAGTCCCTGTGGTTCCTCTGAAGCGTCTTTATTAAGAACTGCTCGTTTATTAGAAAGGAGGCTTTTTCAAGTGCAGCAACTCTGCTTCTCATATTCATAGGAAGTAAATCCTGGCTTTTGAGCTAAAGAAGTCCATCTTCCTTTGTCAGGTTAGTAATAGTCTGTTTCCTGTTAACTTTGGGAAACAGGGAAAGATGAATTTTCTTGGGCTTCCAACCACTAAATCTGTGATAGACAAAGAAAGAGATGCAGAAATATCCTTCAAAGGAAATGAGAAATGGAGATAGCAAGCTGCCTCCCCATCCTGATACCCAGGCGTTTTCACTGCCTAATGGGATTCCCATGCAATGAGGGGCAGAAATACCTCACCCCTTGCCCCCCACCCATGAGGTGAGGTGAAGATGGGAGGTGGGTGTGTTCTGTAATGTTACAGGTCCTACAAATGAGAATTCTGTGCAGCCAGGCCACATGGGACAGGAGTAGCGGCCAGGGGTCCCTCCCAGAGGCCAGATGGCCACTGCCCTCTCTCTCTACCAGCTTGTGTCTCCCGTCCCGGCTGGGTGCCATCTTAGCTAGCACTTAGCATTTCCCCTCTCCTACTGTGGAAAGCACAGGGCTTGTGGTTTCTTAGCCCCTGTCTCCAAATACAACACATTCATCTTGGCCCTTTTCTTCAGAAAATGACTCGGTGTCCAATTTCCAGAGTGCTAGGAAATTAATCGAATCATCTTGGTTGTCTTTTCTAATTGGGCCATAGGTCATGAAGAGGATGGGTTAGGTCCCCAGTCCAGACCAGGCTGTGGAGGCCAGAGTGGGGTCACTTGGCCGGGCCTCATCGTGTGGAGGCAAGCGAGATGGGTGTGGTCAGCGGCCAAGCTGAAGGGTGGCTTCTTTCTGGAGGAGTACAGGGCCAGAATAAGGAACCCTGTCCCTTTCACACCACTGTGTGGGCTCTTGTCTTTTGTGTTTCATGACCTCTCTTTGTGGTGTGGGGACATCAATGTCCTCTTGCAAAGTGTCAGAGGAACAGCTTAAATTCACTGGTAATTTAGCTCGTGTTCACTGCAGAAGAAAGTGAGTAGTTAATGAAACGAATAAGAACGTGAGGACAGGTCCTGAGAGAGCCAGCTGCTGACACCATGGGAATCTGGCCGGGGGAGATGAGTCGGGGTGAGGCACAGCCATGCAGGGCACATTCCGGCACGTGCGCCATCTTGGTTTTGTAGACCTGAGCCCAGACACACGTGCGCCTGCCAATAGACACACCTCCGTATGCATGTGTGTGATCTTTCACGAGTACACAAAAAGACATGCCTCTCCACCCAGTGTACGCTGCTCTTCTATCTGGAACCTGCCTGTTCTTAGTTTCACCCCAGGTTTTTCTGATTACGAGCTACATCCACCATGCCCCTTCCATGGAGACATCATTTCTTTTCCCATCGGAAGGAACACTCTCCTCCTTTGATCTCTCCTGGTGATGTTTCTTGCCTCTCAGGAGTGGCTCACATTTTGCTTTACGGTGCATAGGAGTCACACCTTTTACAAGCGCACTAAAAATGGCCCCAAATATTGGTATATCCCCTCCATCCTAGGAGACGTGAGAAATAGCTCAGAGGCAGCAAAGTCCTCAGGAGAGAGATGAAGAAAGAGATCACTGGCGCTGAAGGCACAAGCAGTTCTGAAAAGAAGAAATGCAAATGATCACGGCACGTTTGGGAAAATAGTCAATCTCTCTGATAGCCAAACAAATCAGAATTAAAAGAGCACGGTGAAATGGAAAAATAACAACATGAAAAAGAAGTCACAAACACTGCTGGAGGGATTTGGTAAAATTGTTTTTGGGAAACAATTTGGAAATATTTGTTGAGCATATTTATAAGCATGTTAAACATTAAAACTAACAAACATTTATAGCTTTTGATCTCACAGTTTCACTTCTAGGAACATGTCCAAAGGAAATATGTAGCTTAGTCATGTTTACATATGTGTAGGAGTTTCGGGGGAGAGTTCAGTGGACTTAGGCGAGGGTCAGCCCCTCTACTTTATTCCTGAATTTGCTCAATAAGCCCAGTGGCTCTCGACCCCACTGCACCCTGGAATCACCTGGGAGCTTAAAATGTTCCTGATGTCAGGAGGAATGGTAACTCATTAAATCGCATTCTCCAAGGGTGGGGCTCGTATTCTTAAATGTTCTGCTGGTCATTCTGTGCGGTCACGGTCAAGAGCCACTAGGTTTTACCAATGGACCTGGATCAAATACTCTTGCAGTTGATTTTAGTTTACTTACCCCTTGGGCTCGAAGTGTAAAAAAGGATGGGAAGGAATGAGGCAGTGACTTCAACAACGATGATTTCCTTGCTCCCACATTGATGTTAGGTTCACTCGACTGTTTTTTCAGTGGACAGAAGTGGAGAAAGAAAAGGTGGACGCAGGCCTTGTGCTGGAGACAGGAAGAGTAGAGGATGGATCAGGCTGTGCTTTCATAGAGCTCAGATTCCACTGGGGAAAGAGAGGAAGAGAGGAGGGAGAGCGGGGAGGAAGGGTGAAGGGGGTGCATAATCACATAAATAAACAAAGTGAGTTTCAGAGACTGGAGGGTACAGGCTGAGGGGTGAATGGGTCTGGGCTGGGGCTGGGGCAGCTGTCAGATGGGACAGACGTCTCCTTATTTGAGCTAAAGCTCACTCAGTGNCCCTGAGGCAGTAACACTCACTGGAAAGTTACCAGGAGTTGAAATATCCAACCTTGCTCAGGAAATTGCCATTGACTTCTTCTGCCCTACTTTGGGGTGTTATCTGAATAGCCACCCTTCGGATCTCCTCTTTGCGCTCCACCCTCAGCTGTGCTTGGTGGTAAGCAGACGAAAGTAAGTTGCTTGGTTTCTCCCTTTTACAGATCACTTTTCTCATTCAGCCTTCTTGGTAGTTTTATAAACCAGGTGTGTTACCTGCTCACATAGAAGAAGTGAGTAATAACTCATGGCGTGAGCTGTGTACCCCAAATACCTCTTCTGCACTAATTGCCTGACACAAGTTTCTCCTTCCACCTTCACCACCATCCTGTGAGGCTGCACTGTGGCCCTTCCCAGTGTGTGGATGAGCAAAGTGAGGCTCAGTGAGTGTCTGTAACTCATCCAAGGCTATAGCCAGCGCAGGACTTTGATCCAGCTGGTGAGTGGCAGAGATGGGGCTTGGATCCAGATCTATCAGATTCTAAAGCTTCTGTTTTCCATGCTGCTTTCCAGAAGAATTGTGAAATTCACCCTACGTTCAGAGTTCTCCATTAAAATGAATGACATAGATTAATATCTCATTGAGCCCAATGTTTGATCCTCATTAGGCGTGCTCCAATTTATTTGAACTGCTGGGGCATACAATCTGAGGCTTGATTTAAAAAAAAAAAAGCTTAAGTTTTAGATCTCCAAATTGTCACTTTGGGAGAATATACAGTTCTTCCAGCAGTGTGACCACTGCTGATAACATTTTTTGAATACTTCTTTTAGAGTTGCCTCTAGAATCTATGGCCCATCCTTTCGAATCTTTGTAGTAGGGGAAAATATTTGACATTGGATTTTATTTTGTAAATAGGAAGATTAATAACCAACTTGAGTGCATGAGTTACCTATTGCTGTACCAAA